TTAAAAGAGTAATACAGATTCTAAGAGCACTGAGGTCCATATACTCTCAGGTGCCTCGAATTTTCAGAACTTCATCCTTCAGACTGGCACACCCTTACACGAGACGGACGATACCTTTAACTTTGCTGTGGGAGACTGGAATCAGGATGGGCGCCCCGAATTATTTGCAATTAAAAAGAACGGCACCGGCTCCAAAAGCACCGAAGTCCATGTCATCTCACCCTAACCACGCCTTGGCCCAGTCGAACCTCAGCAAATATCACTGAATATGGCTAAGCAATGTCTCATCCAATGAAGTTCAATCTTTTATCTGGTGATTGTGGTCTCCAGATATTGCCTTCGACTTACAATTTTGGATTTTTTCACTTCATTTACTTTACTGCCAATTTCATCAAAGAATTGTGCTTCTCCTGTGATAATTTCTGGCAGCCGTAGCCACAAAATTCTACTTCAATATAAAGATCCTTCTAGACCGTCCTTTACTGCTGACAGGTAAACTCAATAAAAAAGTCAAAAATAGCATTGGTCGGACTGATCTAATGAATGAAGAATAACTGTCGTGAGGGTTGGTTTTGCCCACCACCAATGGTACTTTTCTATGTCATACCTTGTAAGTATTCCAGGCTGCAGAAATATGCGGAAAGCTCTGTAATAGAGCGGGCTAAATTATGGACGTACGTATTAGACCTATGAGGAATTATCTGTGCCATACGGCCGCATCGTAAACACCAATTTTAGATATTTGATATTTGAAATTATTCCCGCCCACCCACGCTGAAATCTATTAGTATGGATAATTCTGACCTCTGAAAGGCCTGCGAAGCCGCTCAGGCCCAGGAAAGTCTGAATATCTCAAAGATTGCGCGTGGCACCGGTGTTCCTATCGGTACACTACGTGACTGTGTCAAGAAGGGCGCGCAGCCTCGCATTGCAGTGAACCAGCACTTGCGGTGCGTCTTAGTCCCAGCCAAATAGTGGAAAAATCGTGATTGAAGCCCGCATTCGAGCAGCTACCGTTTCCGACCTTCGTTATACATATCGTAACTGATTCTAACACGGTAAAACGATTACAAACACCATGATTGCGTAGAATGGGCCTATCATTCTGACTTTCGAGCCCGATGATCTGCAAACCATGCCCAAACTCGAGTGGTATGGGATGCTTCGCTAAACCAAGGCGTGGCTGTGGAGGAGTGGAGGAATACTGCCTGGATCTATTTATGACGATATGAAGAGCACATAATGGCATGACAAAGGTATGGTGCACTCTCCGGGAAGCTCCGACCTATTAACATTACAGTCATACGAGCGTCGTTCATGAGGTCTGGGCAGCCGAAGACCATGCAACTTTTGGTTGCGTCCATGGGCGACCCATTTTTACGGTCATGATGATAAAATGAATAAATTGGCATACCTACCATAAGTAGCCACTCTCCGTTCACCTTGTCGTATCGCATGACAGGATATTGCGTAGACGGCTTTTGATCCCACATCAGGGATGAGCTTGATTGTTCTTACTTGTTAACCGAATAGGCTTTCCCGGGTCATCTGCGGTACGTCCCTCTAGATTAGGCTTAAGCGGCTATTCAATTCAACACCGATTGGTTCCCTGACTTGACACTGAGAGACCGCCGCGGATGGCCAAACCGCGGCAGTAACTAAGGTTTGGGCTCGGATGATCGACATGGGCTTTTACGGCACCCGAAGTCGGCTGCGGTCATCTGCTCTGGGTGCTGGACGTTTTAAGAATTAGTTAGCAGTTTATTTTCATTGCCACATGATATGTGTTCATAAATGCATCATCTATCCCCGTTCTACCCCACCTACGATCAGCCCATGCAGAAGCTTGGCAACTCCGATTGACTCTCCTAGACCTAATCCTTCTGGCAAGATACGACATGCCTCAAAGAATCGGTAGACCGCAATAGAATCATCGAACTTTGTATTCCATAGGCATGACCTTGTCGACAATTTCCGACGTCATATAAATCTACTGGCTACTTGCCGTTCGTAAGTTAATAACCCAGCTTGATCTAGGAGTGTATGTATATTTCACCATCGTCTTTATCCTTGCAGATACTTACAGATATATCAGTCCGTAACAACACTTGATTATCTATCCTTATATCATATTCAAGCATGACGGAAAGACTAATCGTAAGGAGCAGCGCATGAAAGTTGCAGACGGCGGTTGGACCATTCTTTATGGAGATCTTATCAACGAATGGGATGTAGTTACGGGTCTTGCCTCTATCCCCATCGGCGCCGCTGGTGTCTGGGCTTCCGAGCAGATTCAAGCTCAACTGCAGAAATTTCAACAAAGTCTGAGTGATGTGTCCGATGATGTGGTCAATCAGGCAACGAACTATCTGAAACAACTAATATGAAACAAGTCCCTCGACGAGCAAGATTTTGATGGATTAGGAGTCAACCCTGGAATTATCACATATAAACGTTGGTTGGAATTCCCTTTTGGGCTCAAGACTGACCTGCCGGACAACTATCAACCGGTTTACGCATCACCAAGCCTCTACCTCCAAAAGTGCCAACTATTACAAAGAGTATAATGGAGAACAAATTAACCGCTGTTTCTTGGGGCAAAGATCACCTTGTGGTTTTTGTTGTTGGGGCTGACACTGCTTGTTGGTGCAGGGTATGGGATGGAGTCCGATGGGAAAATTGGGAGACGCTCGGTGGCAAGTCTCTTAGTTCTGTCACAGCAGTGAGCCGGGGACGCGGTCGAATCGACCTTTTTGGAATTGGCGTCAGCAATGCTTGCTACCACAAATGGTGGGAGGGAACCTGGGGGCCATCTGAGACAGAATGGCAGGAACTAGGTGGAGTGTTCACCAGTCCTATCCATGCTGTCAGCTGGGGGCCAAATCGACTGGACTTGTTTGGCCGCGGACAAGACAATATCTGCCTTCATAAGTGGTGGGATGGTGCAAGGGATGGGTGGTTTGGGTGGGAGTTGCTACATGGCGTTTTGCTAGGTGGTCCTCCCACAGCCGTAAGTCTGAACGGGCTGGATGTCTTCGCTACCGGGACTGATAATGCTTGCTACCATGGATGGTGGGACGGGAGTGAGTGGAAAGCATGGGAATCCTTGGGAAATATTTAGACTGCTACCAAGCTCCGCTCCGGAAGGGGAGATGGCCAAAACAATATTTTCTGATCGTCTGTAGTTACCATCTCAGTTAAGCTTCAAGACGGGACCGCAAGCAAATTGTGCTTGTCTAGACCAGGACACCCCTGCTAGCAGCATTTAATCAAGCGATCTCCTATTCGCCTCGTTTTCAGTGCCCGGCATATTTCGAAATAGCAGATAGAGTGATTCGCTAGTTGCAACCATCGATTCAATACTCACCATGCCAAGGGACTTTGCGACTACGCGTCCTGGAATCTGATCTCAGCCAAATTCCTCAAGAGGCGTGAAAGGAGGCGCGGTTCCCTAACGGTGGATAATTTTAAAAATACGATTCAAGCTCGTTATGGAAGAAAATATTAGATATTCCATAGTTACAGGATTCAGTTCATTTGTCGTGCTGAGACTATCAGTATGACCGGAAAGCAGCTGTTTTGTCAGGCTCCGGTCTGGTTAACCTGTCTTTCTGCATCCATAATTGCAATGGTATGATCGCGTCGACCTACGAATTACTCAACCCTTGTCAACTTCCAAGCGAGGTATGATGGGTAATGTTGGTCCAATCTCTAAGCACATACATATGCTATCAATCATCTCTGTATTCACTGTTTCACTCGGGTGCTGGCGACATGACCCAAGTATAGGTGAGAACCTCCAGCAACGAATGCGCCACCATCGATGACCCTAGACTTAACAGAAATCGCTTGCCATTTCAAGCTTGGTGTATATTCAAGATTCTGTGGCACATTCCAATAGACAAGGCCTCGGGTCTCACGATGCTTGCACTACTCTGTCAATTACTCGCGAATAACTGGTATTCGGCCTTTGTTGATATGAATTATTAGATCCACAGCCTCAGTTTCCAATACATTGCTTGGCATATTTCTTGACAGCCCATCTAAGTACATTCTTTATTCTACACTACTTACCGATACCATGCAATATCGGGCACACGAGGCATGAGAGTTTTGGTCAACCAACCTGCCTCTGAGACCATCTTGCATGGCCTTCAAATGCTCCCAGCTCAGGCTGTCCTCACCAAGACTCCATGCCATCACTCCACCCAGCTTCTCGGCATCCACAATTTCTTTGAATTTGCGAGTAATCAACTCAGGGGTGTCCCAAGTCCAGAAAAGGCTGGCCTGCTCGTCCCAGTAGTACTGCCCGCCGGCTTGCTCGTCCGTCTTGCCGCCCTTGAGAGCGCGACGCCACGAGTCGATGGCCGAGATGCCCTTGCACTCGCCATAGTCTCAGAGACAGCCAGCTTGGCAGAAGTCGTTGCCAGAACCGCTGATTGAGCTTGGTTCATGTCATTCAGAAAGGAGAAGATTGAGCGTACCAGTAGCCATACTGGCTGCAACATGAACCGGCCGGGCATTTGGTCCCCTTGGAAAAGCCGCAGGTTCCATCCGCGGAGACTCTCAAATCACCTGGAGCAGCCGCCATAGCGCTTTTCTCAAAGGTCAAGGCTCCTGATGTGCCTGCGTCTGAACCATTGGGGTTCTCCAGGGCCAAAACCCCTCATCCAAGTGGATGTTCATTGCAGTTAGAGTTCGGATCGGTCATGAACCACTTGGCGTAATACGCGAATCCCAGGTTGATCTTGGCAGTGTCGAGACCAATCTCTTCATACGCCTTGATAGCGTCGAGTGAACCCACCACACTCGTGTGATGGTTCGTGACTTTATCCCGACGATTCATCAGATCATACGACATGACTTTCACCAAATCCACAGACGGCCAGATCTTGGTACCTTGTTCCTTCGCAAAGGCCATCATGTCGGTTCTTTTTTCAGAGACTGCAATTGAAAGGAGCTTGTCCGGGCCGATGGCTTCACGAATTGCGCGCAGAAAGAGTGGATAGGTTTCGATTTCGTCCGTTTTACCGCTGTTAGGTACCTTCATATAATCCCCGCCGTTCCCACCAGGATACTCCCAGTCGATATCCAGAGCCCAGCTCTCAGTATCTTGGATTACTTGCTATTTTCGTTACTCACCGACACCGTCAATGCCTAGGTTGTCGATCATTGTCGCGACATTCTTGGCGTAACGGGCCCGGGACCCATCGTCCTTTGCGCCTTCGGAGAAGCCATTGGTATCGCCCCAGCCTCCAATAGCAACCATGACCTTGATATCGGGTACAAAGCGCTTCCGCATAGCTTCGACAGGCTCAAAGGGCTCGAACTTGGGGGAAGAGTCAGAGTTGAAAATACTGGAGTTCGCAAAGGCCATTATCGCGTGAGTTATGCCTTCTGTGCGGTCATTACCGGGGAGAGCAGCAGTATGATATCTGGATCGTTACTATGTATAGCTTGTTTGGAAGCGCGGCTCTTACTCATCTATATACATGACGAATCTCAAGCCCAATGTGGCCCGGACAGCCAGAAGGCACAGGAGAGGGACTCTAAGCATGCCGTGCTATGTCAAATCAGTTGACAGAGAAACCGAAAGGAGAGTTTGATCAAGCACTATTTGAACCAAGAAAGCAACCAAGCAACTGGAAAGATAAGTAATAGTGAAACTTACTGGCAGATGAAGCGCGGTGCACTATACCAGGTTATAATAGTCGTTCCTACTAGCATTTGACGCGGACAGTATCATAGCACCTGCCGCCTCAGATCCAGAGGGACCGAAATGATAAGGAAAGTTACAATGCGAAAGACGTCGCAGGATATCTTGACAGTGACCGTGTGCGGCCTCCAGGACGTATTAATTTGGCACCAACATATAAAAGGGCCCCTAATTTTGATCCGGACAGAAGAATGCATGAAAACGATATTACTGTACAGCCGGTGCAGCTGATCTTTAGTTCTACCATTGTGCTTGGTGATCTGCGTTTTTAGCGGGCGTTGCGTGACCTAACGCGTTCTGGAAATTAAACTATCCCTGTAACAATACAGACGTGGTCCTCCTACACGAACAGCTCAGTGTGGAGGAGAGAGGAAGGGGCAAAGGCTCTGAGGTCTGAGACAAATTTCGGGCCATTAGAAATATACCACTATCAGCACCAAAAAAAAAAAAGTGGGAAAATCTAGTGTATCGCAAATTTTGCACTACAGTGTGGATTGTCATTGCTGACGCCGTAATGCTCGTTGTCGTGGGGAAACATGTTGCCTCGCCGTGGAGATGGTGAACTTGATTACAGGTCCCTAGAGAGACCAAAGCATTATCTCAGCCCATCAAAGTGCAGCAGAGCCATACAAGATAGCAGTGTCCAAAATTGTTATTGTAGCTATGCGCAGCCATTGACTGGGTCATTCCATCTGGTTTCCTCGTGTCTCCAGTGAAGGCCAGACATAGCCAGGATTGGTTGATGACAGGAGCCCAGTACAATAGACCTTGAACTTGCAGTGGTATGACGCAGCAGATGCGCATGGTCTATAGATAGTATCAAAGTGAAGCGCAGACAGAGGTAACCCCACGTTTACTACTACAGGGAAAGCGAGGCCTGTCCCCTGAGTTGGATGAAGTGAGGGACACATAAAAGGCGCTTTCACCCCGTCTAGACTTCCCAGTACACTATTGATTTTCCTTCCTACCCATCTCATATCAAATCTTCAGTACAAATCTCTGCTCGCATGGCTCCTGATCCGTGGGGAGACACGATAGACAATGCCATCCTTATTGACGATGACGATGAGGCTCCCGGAACTGCTGGCAGAGAGACACCTCCCGAAATGACAGCACTGCCTGTAATGATGGCTGATGGTACCGTCGAGAACCATCCATACGGACTTCCCTTAGGCGTCTTTCTGGACGATGACCAGCATACTGAGTCCACGGAAGTTGCAACCCCACCCCCCAGTCTCATTGAGGACATGGCTGAGGGAATCTACACACCCATTCCCCGGGCATTGAGCGGGACCAGGAGCCAGAAATCACTGACTTGGGAGTTCCTCCTGGTACGTTTGGCTTGTCCTGGATTGAAACGATTGTCTTACTTCTCATTGACATAGTATAGAATTTATCAATGCCGACACTGAAGGCGAGCATAGGTCTCGCCAACCCGCCATTGGTGTCTACCACGGCACTGATTATGTCCATCTTGATCACCCCAACCTACCGAATGAGGTCCAGGAGCCTGACAGTACACCTGAACCTGCCACTAGCAATAACTCGGGTTGCAGTGCACCAAACTCGGAAGCATTAGAGAGTTAGCTATTCAGTGTACCACTGAGTATACCTGGCGCTAACTTCAAACAGGCTCAGTCGCACCTAGCACACTCTATGAATTCACTTCTCTATTTCTGCCAACATGGACGATTCTTGATGTTTGTCAAGGCAATGGTCACCTCGACGTACGATTCCGAATTCCTTACGCGGGGGCGCGAAAGAGGTCTGCCCCCGAACCTGAGTCTGCTGCGAATGATGGCCTTGTTGAGGATTCTGCGCCTCGGCTCCGGAGATCAAAAAGGGTGAGGTGGGCAACGACGGTCAGAGGAATATAATACTGTAGCATACGAGTAGATCCCAAAGTGTTGGATACGTCAGAAAGTTTCCTACTCAGAGGCTGGGTTGCTAGTATAGTCTTTCCGTGCAAGCCATTTTACCTCGTCATTATGTTCACTCGGCACTACATGTCCCCTAGACCACAAATGTGCTACTCTGCCTAGATAGTCATCCGCCAGTAAACGTGATCCAATTCGATGAGTTGATTGTGGCCCGCTACTTTCTTTCGGCAGCCGCAACAGGCTGTATATTGGAGTGTACGTTCCTTACTCTTCGATAGTACCTTGCCACCACTGTCATTCTGGTTGCAAATAAAAGCTGTACTGGGACTACAAAAAGCACCTTTACTGTTCGTCCTCTCCATATAGCTGGAATACAGTGTCTCTTTTGTCTCCTGAGCTTCCAGCATCCACTTCACATCCCTACCTCCATCTCGTCCTCCTTGAGGGACCATTACTGTCTTTTCGCGTCAACCTACCCTTTATACCGCGAATATGTGAGTACGGCCGTTCGAGGTGGCGTCCGTTGTATCTGGTCGCGCAGCGACAATTATGCTGAGTCCTCAGTCGGCCGACCATACCATGTTGATGGGGCACCCATCACGAGGGACAGAAATGAACGTCTCGGGCTGATACGGCAACGGCAATGTGGCCTCACTGCTCACTACACCATGGTGGCTATCGACGGAACACTGCGCTGCCGCGTAGATACGTGCAGCTGGGCCTTTGGACGATGATCCAGTGTGTCTGATTCGCACCTGGCACTTGTTAGGCGACCCGTATAAAGTTGCAAGCCTCTCAGGAGTCGCCTAGCACCGCCGCCCCATGGAATGACACTGATTGCCGTCGGATCAAGCTTCATGAACCTTCGACCGGCTGGCTCGCAGGCTTCCTTTTCAGCACAATATAGTTCCATTTTTAGACCAAGGTAGCGTCTTCGTGCTTAGGTGCATACAGTACCGAGCCCCAAAGTGCCGTATTGATGTACGCTTATTCTTTTTCATAGCTCATGTTGTGGCAGATGCGATGTGGAACTCGTTCCAGCCTAGCACGTAGTTGGCGTTTGAGGATATATAAGTGCCTGTCTGTTCCCCGAACTCAGTTTCGCTTCTTCATTCCAACCTGCACCTTACAAGCCCAAGGAACTGGCAGTATTCTCACCCTACATTTGTCACAATGTCTCTCTTTATTTCTATCCACTGTACCTTCGAACTGCACCTGGCAACTCCCAATAGTCCTGCTGCTCTCGTCCACACGGATTCCAAGACTTCTCCCAGTGTCCAGAATGCCATGGATATAGGAGGGCTGCCGACACTACCGTGTACACTTCCAGGGACAAGCTACGGTGAGCCCTATGTTTGGATTCTTCAGCAATCTACTTACGAGGTTGCAGAGAACCCCGTTCAAATCGATACGTTCGGTGACGAAGAGTGTGACTCCAGCCTCTGCCCAGAGAGTCCGCAGCAACCAGGCGATAGTATCGGTAACGTTTCAGTTTCACTACGATCAGAACATGCGCTCTAATTATAACTTAGACAACGCAATTGATCTTGATGCCGCAACATCGGCAGCAAGTAATAAAAATGCCATTGACAACCTACCAGACAGATACCGTCAGACGGAGTGCGCCATCGATGGTAAGAGTGAGCTCCCACCCCTGGCTGGCGTATTCTAGTATTAAAATAAACTATAGGCCGCTCTTTAGAGGAACACTAATGTCCTAGACAAAGCCATGGGAAACCAGCGTTTGGCCTGCGAGTACCTAGCAAGCCGGCAGTATAAACCACGGTGCCCATTTTGTGGGAATCGTATACGGGGCCGATATGCTGGTCAAACTGATCGTGATTGCCTGGACGGCGGATATGTCGGTCTGCGCTGCCCAGATCCGGAAAGCTCCTATTGCTTCATTAAGGACTACATGGTGCAGGGTATCATATTGAAGATACTTTGATTTAACGTCGTTTTTTTCATGTACCGTTCCTTTCGAGTGCTCCTTAGTTATCTACGTTCTTGTTACAGTATCAGTCAATGTAGCGGCTTCCACCCTATTTCAGCAGCTGACTACCAGACGGCGGAAATGGTTGAGTGTCTTCAGAACAGTAATCCGACCAAAAACAAGAAACCGCATACGATACGTCTTCCCAGCTGTACCGTATTGGCTGAGATTCATATCACCGCTGTTGTAGGGCCCTTGCTAATATTTTCAGTCCTTGAGCTACTTGAGGTTTCTGTTACAAACATTCGGACCCTTCGGCAATTACCTTTTTGCCTTAGGATAGGCTTCACCTAATAATTTAGTTTCCCGGTGCTGTTATGTGAAGGCAAAGGTTCCGTGTTTGATCTCAGTCTGATTATCTGTTGTAGACAGTAATAGTTCAGTGTTCTTAATGATGATTTTGATTATTTCTATGTATCTTTGTTCGTAAACATAGCCGTGCAAATTGACAGACCACGTGGAGAGTTATATTTTGCTGGTATCTTTCTTTAATTACAACGGCAGAATAGGCGCGAGAAGAGGTCCAGGTTTCATATTGTATCTGCGCAGGCTGTGTGTCCACACCAGACAGTTCAGTCCTCGAAACCCGGTTAAATCCTGTACTTTGGATCGACCCCAAGAAATCCCAATTGGATGGCTTAGATATTCAGTTTACAGTATAGGAGCGTGACGATATTTTCTAATCAGGATTTGAGGCCGCTATAGCTACTGCAATCAGACTGCGTGCTGCAGCTTCCTGCCATATGCATAACATGATCTCGGTCCGACTTCGCGAATCCGGTCATTGCGTGGATCAGCAGCCAAGAGCAAGCGACGACAAGCTATCGTCCTAGTCTGGAAAGGTTGGTTTCACTGCACGTTGGTCAGGGAAAAGCACCTATATACGGAAGTAACCTGCAAGGTATGAGAAGCATGGTGCAAGGCTCCACCGAATACACTATTATCGCCATTCACTGCACAGTTGCCTTCCATTACAGCAAGGGTGAGGGCACGAAACATTTCCTTCGGGGGGTAAATTCTCCAGGTGTCTATCAATATGGTTTAACAATGTGGCTTTCTTGACCCACTGTTGAAACCGCTCATCCGCTCTCTTTTTTTTATTACCTAGACAGAATGGACATAGACCCGCTGCAACTAGCGTATAGCGGAAGGTTAAGAGCCCACATCTCGGCTGTAGAGTATGCAGGTGAGATTGGCAATGTTTGATCTAATCTCCTTCGTTGTATATTAATTCAGCGCACAAATAACAGAATTGAACGAAACTTCGACGGGTATGGCGATGGGTATGTTTGCCATTTCTGTAGGTCTGCTGGTAAGGTGTCGCATTCAACGATTTGCGTTTGCACTGCAAAATATGCTTTGACCGTTCTTGGAGACCAATGCTGGCTAACATTAGCAATAGAAAGCGACTACCACCAAAAAACAAAAAAAAAAAGAAAAAAAAAAAAAAGAAACCAAAGCAAAGAAAGAAAAGAAAAAAGCACACGCAAACCTTGACATCTGCTTGGCACATATTGGACATTTTCCCTTTACGGGAGTCATGCCCGGATAATATACCACCTTCTCAACTGAAGTACAAAGACTAACTGCATCACGTAAACATTGCCTCCCAAGATCACTATCAAGAGGCACTTACTTAAAAATATTGTCATGTAAGCGTGCTCTTTCAGGCATATATTTACGGTAAATTTAAAAAACGCAAGTAGTGTCGCGTTCGAAAAAGTCGTTGCCAGTAATGTACTCGTCGTAGCAAACATTCCACCAATTTTCAATGAATTCGGAACGTTTAGTGCGGAGCTTCTTGGCTTTCTTCGTAAAGTTTCGATCTTTCCAATACCAAGTCGGCATGTTTATCAGGCCAGCCACGAATCTCCTACGTCAATTCACTGATCCTTTGGTTACTCAAAATCACTTCCTCATCTTTTTCAAACTCTGCGAGAGAGGCAGCATCAAGTCGAAACGGAACATTTTAATCACGGTGGTGGGCCATGCTCTGTTCCATTTCACGACATTCATAATCCAGCTCCAGGTTATAGTACAGAGCCATCATATCTACCGCTTTGAGCGATAACTGGTATTTCAAGTAAGAGTCATGATCTATATGATCTAACGCCTGGCCGCGGGTCGCGGCTATTGCCTTGGCTTAGTAAAAATTAGTTAGCATGATATTCCTCCGAAAATTGATATACACCTTACGATCGATTTTATTTACTATAGTACCCCAGATTTCATATACTCGTAAGTGGTCTTTAAAGCCATCCCGTTTAATTAAATTAATAAAATAATAATATAACGAAAAGAATATTTATACTTCGTTTACTTTAGGTCCCTAAAAAGTAATTATTT